AGTGTCACTGGCCCTCATATGTGGGATCCGAACCGGGGCCCTCTGGCATCCCAAGCGAGTTCTTAACCATCGCGCCACTCGGCCGGCCCAAAGGGGAACCCTAGACACTTCTGATTACGGTGAACTACTGCTTGAGCAACGTTGACCAAAGTGTCCACTTGTATACATTTTTTTGGCACCCCTGGTATGTCTCATTCTTAAACTTTTCGGAATCTAAGAATGTGTTCTTACATATTTAAGAAGACATTTCTCATCTCAGTGATTTACCACACACACAAGAACTACGTGTACCAATACCAAATATATATATATACAAAACAAAGCCTGGAATTATACCTACATGGGCAAATATAAAATATAATTAAAAACTCATATTGTGAAAGAGGACACAAGCCCTTTGGGTACCAATCACATTGTAAATATTATGCTTCTACTAGATGCCTTATTATTTAGAACACAAGATTTCAGAAGACATGAATCTAACCTGCACTGTTTGAAAAAGTGGATACTTCTTAGCAGTGTGTTAACTAGATCATATATTAAAACCTTTAAAACAGATTTGTTACCTGGTGCACCGATTGGTAGTCCTAGCTTCTAATTTTTCCTTAAACAAAAGCTCTCTCACACAAATAAAAAAGAAAAACATATTAAGTATGCACCTCAGCAAAAATACTTCCATCTACACATGGGATCCCGTCTCTGCTACTGTGTAGTTGACATAGAGTAACCCTAGTCTTTCCATTTTCATTTTTAACTGAGTAAATGAAGTCACAAATTTAGAAGCTGGGGAAAGGACATTAAATAGAGCAAAAGGTAATAAATCCATAATGCATCTATAAGATACAAACTAGTCGTTATTTATTAGTGTTATGACACACACATGCTATGTTTGTAGAATCCCAAAGCCCTGTTTCTGGTACACAAGACAACCAAGCCTAGACCCCGCTCCTCTCCCCTCATCTATGCCTTCCAATATAGGCACTTCTTATGCTAGAGCTTCTTTAAAAACTAAGTTTTTTGGAGGAATATAATCAATAATGTTGTAAATATTTTTTAGGGGGACTCATGTCTTGTTAGGGAGACCACTTCATGGACAGCGTAGACGCCTGACCACTGCACAGTACATCTGAAGCTGCTGTTAAATAATAGTGTATGTCAACTATAATTTAATACATATATAGTCATGGGATGTGGAGTATAGTATGGGAGTGGAGTCAACGGAATTGTAATAGATATGTATGATATCGGGGGTGGGGGGCGGTGGATAGGGGGAGGGGGGTTATCATTTGTGAGGGGTGAAGAGTATAACTATTGCATTGTTTTGTACACCTAAAATTATTAATAAAAAATAAAAATATATAAAAATATTACAAAACCAAAGCTATTTAAGAGTCAACAGAATTGTAACAGCTATATACGATGTCAGAGGGGCGGTGGATAGGGGGAGGGGGGTTATCATTTGTGAGGGGTGAAGAGTATAACTCTTGCATTGTTTTGTACACCTAAAATTATTAATAAAAAATAAAAATAAAAATAAATAAAAATAAACACTAAGTTTTAAAAGAAACTTTGTTATAATTTTTCGTCATTTGAGTTCAATTCCATATGTTCAATTTCTATGTTTACTTAATCACTGTGCTTGTATTTCTGTTAAACACACCTCTACGCCTTCACAGAGATGTCAGGGAGGCATAGATTATTAAATATTTAGAAGAGCCAGGAAGTCCACCCTCTGCTGATCCGTCTTTGTCAATCAAGCTCTGTGTTATGGAGCAGATGGGTCGGCCTGTGCCCGCAGGCCACTGGGGCTGGCATCTGGGGGTGGGAGGAGCACAGATGCTGCTGAGACGGTTCACAAAGGGAAGAAGGCCTTGTCCAGAGTACAGAGTTGCTTCTATTCTCTGAGACATGACAGATTACACCCTACTGACCAAGCCCAGCCACTTCAGACATGTTTAGTGATGAGAGATTATACAGGAGTTCAAAAAATACAGAATTACAAACATTTGGTTTGGGTTAATTTTCTTAACGGAATTACAGCCTAAATCAACCCTCCATTGCCCACTTCTGCATAAAATGGCTTGTGTTCCAAATAATAATAAGGCATCATGACCTTTGAGAAGCTACAAAAATGTGTCCTAAACACTTGATTCTCAACAACTACCTGGTAACATAGGCAAGGCAGCTGAAGCTCCAGGGACGTAAGCGACTTGCTTAAGATCACAGGATCACAAACTGGGAACCAGCTTTGCTAATACCCAGAGTTCAGTGCTTTCTGCTGCTGTTCCATGCAGCCTCTCAGGGAAAAAATTATAATGCCTTTCCAGTAAGCAAATGCGTTCATATACACAGCTGTTTTATAGTTCAGTCACAGGCTATGGAAATGGACACCGGAGCAAGGATGTATCAAGCCAGATATTTTTCGGCTTCTTATTCTAAAACTGACTATAAAAATCAGGCACTGATGAAGCAAATTCCTAAGTTATTATTATCTTGAATCCATTCTACCTTTAAGAAATCCTTGTGTAAAGCAAGGTAATATTCTTTTACTTTAGTAAAAAATATAGAAGCCAGAAATTGTGAATCCTCTCATCTACCTTTTGTGAAGACTAATTTCAAGGCCTTTAATGATAATAAAGAGTCTCCCAATAACAACAAACAAAAAACAAAACTAAACAAAGAGTCTCCCAGTAGCAGAGGGATAAATAAATCAAGACTTACCCATGAGAATCTTGGTGACTAGCTGTGCTGCCATTTTTACACATATTCTTTCTAACTAATCTACTGGAGATAAGAGAGCCATTTATCCTTCATTAATTATCAAACTATTTCATGAGATAAAATATAAAAACGATGTATTCTTCAGTTAAATAATATTTCTTCAATTGTAATATCAGTGTTTCTTTCTTACTGTATGTTCCTGCCCTTGGGGTTTGTGAAGCGCCATGGAACCTATTTTACTGCAGGGAAGGGGCCGGTATACATGGAAAGCACAGACTCAGAATGGGGGTCATAAGGGCCCGAAGAATCCACTAGGTCTTATTAGCAATAATTTGCATGTTAAAGCAAAATGGTTTAAAGAGTGCAGAGTTTCAGTTTGGGACAATGAAAAAGTTTTGGAGATGGATAGTGGCGATGGCTGCACAACAATGTGAATGTGCTTAATGCCACTGAATTATACACTCAAAGATGGTTAAGATAATACATTTTACATTATATAGTTTACCATAATTTTAAAAAAGATAATCTTTTAAAAATAACTACTCCTTTTGCACTCTTAAGGACTGTAAGTATGGGTGTATACACGGTCCACACACTCATTTATAAATAACAACTTGGGTTATGGAAATTAAGGTTAATAAATATAACTTTAATTATACTGTCTCACCTAGTAATATTCATATTAATAAAACCAAAAGCAAAATAGATGGGTACTTTCTGAAGCCATAGAAATCTCTTAGGTCACAGGGCACTTCTTAGTTACTGACTCAGCAAACTGAATAGTGTGATAAAACCACTCCTTAACCCAAGAAGCTTGAGCAATTTAAAAGGCTGGATATCCACCTCTTTTTCCAAATCAGTGTCTCTGCCTTTTCCCTTTTAAGATGAAAATTAAAAGACAAGCAGCTAGAAAAAAACACAGACTAAAGTCAAGAGCAGACATGCTCCAAGCAAAATTCAATACTAATATCCACTCAGAACCTTTCAAATTTAATCAGAATTTGCAGAGACCTGGAAATGTACACATACCGATTTCCATAGTCTGGCACTTGAGTACTAGTACTCACCTCTGTAGCACTAAAGCCTATTCCTGCACCCAACTAATCATGGACATTGTATCATTTTCAAGGCACCTCTTAACAAAGTTAAAATTAAATACCTACTGTTGATCAGTTCTTTGTGTTCAGCAAGTGTTTTTGCAGGATCCAGCCAATACTGTGTGAGGAAGAAAAGGGTAGTTAATAGAAATTAGTTGCTTTCCATTGGCCTTTACTTCAAGAACATTTGCAAAGTGTTCCTTTAAATGACATTTAAATAATAAGTAAAGCATTTAATTTACCATATATACACACAACATAAGAGCTCTCTGTGGCTAGGACATTAAAAGAAAAATGATGTCAATGTTCAGAGAACACCAGAGAAGAGAAACAGTACTTGCTGGGCTCTTAGTTGGATTCTCGTACTAATTATAAGATCAGTAATATCAAGATGCAAATGAGTGACTGTCTGAAGCTTTTGGTGGGAAAACAATGGCCACAGAGAACGCCTCCCAAGTCTCCTTCGAAAGTCCCCATCACAACCCTCCAAAAGCCATGTCACCCCCTAAAAGGTCCTCGCCCTCTTCACTTCCAGTCCTGTTCCCTACAGGTATCGCTGCTGGAGGTAAGGAAGAAAGTAATTAAATGAAACCCTCATTAAGTTTCCAGGACAAGCAGCTCAGCGCAGTGGCTGAGGACAGTCCAAGTCCCAGAGCGGTCCCGCTGGATTCCGTCTGGCTCTCCCCTCATCATCACCGTGTAACTTGGACCAAGTTACTGGACATCTCTGAACCTTTGTCATAGGCTTGCTGTGAGGAATAAATCAGTTAATTCACATAAAGTCTTTAAAATAGCCCCTGGCTCATACTAAGTGTGTAACACATCTAGTGACGACTATTATTTAGATGTAAGGGTCATCTTAATAAGTGCCTTTAGCTAGCCTGAGGTACTTGCTTATGAATTCAAATTAATATTTAATGAACACAATTTCAGATGGTGATGGGAAAATTTAGAGGCCTTCCTTTAAATCTCACCCTTGTGAAATAAAATCACAGAAAGGAAAAGAAACAAGTCTTCAGCTTCATCTCCATGGAGGAAGAGCAGGGGAGAAACACGGTGGAGGCATCCGGGCTCTCCCAGACGCACACATAGCTGGAGGGATTCCAGAGCCCACCCTCTCCCCCACCATCCTACCGAATGTCAGAGATCCCAGGGCCGAGCTAGCCAGTTTCTATTTTCCTGTGCTCCTGAATGCAGAAGGGGTTCTCACAGAAGGGAAGCAGGCACTGGCTCACCTGGAGCCACTTCACTCCCAGCACTCTGGTGTTCATCCTGCTGCAGACACGCCCCCTGACACCCTGGGTCAGGGATCAGGGGCCGCAAAAGGAATCCCGGGGAACCTCCTTGACCTCCCTGCCCCTCCCATCAAGGGCGGAAATGCTTGCTCTGCTATACAACAGCAGCAGTAATTATACATACTAATTGTAATATTTTTCGCAATCCCCTTACCTTTCATTCCTAATTATATATAATGACAATTATTCATACTAAATATATGTCATAATCATTTTATTTTAAGATTTATTACAGGACTAAACTCTATCTAATCTAAAATCTTCACAATTTGTCACTCGCAAAGCAGTTTCAGTTTTTCAACATTTTTAAAGAGTAAATTAACATATACAGAGGGTGCCAAAAAAAATACACATTTTAAGAAAGGAAAAAACTGTATTAAAATCATACTACTGAATATATACTGATAAGAAGAATACAAGTCATGTGTATACATTTTTTGGCACCCCAGTATATGTAACAACTTATAACACAATGTGTATTACTCTGCTCCTAATAATTTCTCAATATTTGAAGATCTAAAGTCACTCACTTTTAAAATAAAAAATGTGTTTGAAGCTGAGGCTGGAATCAGTGAACTGCTTTTGGAGTCCACGGTGACTAGAGACGTGGCTCTGAGGCTAAAATAACAGTTCACAGGGCAGCACTGATTCATCCAGGGACAGTGAAATCCACCCAAATGCTAAGCCATGGGTTAGACACAGAGCAGGCCCTTTTTCCTCTTGGAACTTCAAGCTATGGATGCGTCTCATAGCTTCCACTTCTCATGAAATGGAAACACCAGGCGGGTGGACTGTTTCTTGCCATTCATGTTAAATAACACGGTCAAAGAGGATAAAACCAAGAGAAACACACAACTAACCATATTTAAATACTTGCTTTCAGAACTGTGAGGAATAAATTTCTTTTTTTTTTTTTAAAGATTTTATTGGGGAATTGGGGAAGGGGACCAGCCAAGTTGTTCTTCAATCTTAGTTGTAGAGGGCGCCAGTCGCCATCTGGCTGCCCATCGGCAGCTCGTGGCCTCTAAGCTCAAGGTGCTGTGTTCAATCTTAGTTGCGGGTGGGCATAGCCACCATCCCATGCGGGAGTCGAACCAGCAGCCTCGCTGCTAAGAGTGCACACTCTATCCACTGAGCCACCCGGGTGGCAGCTCAGCTCAAGATGCTGAGTTTAGTCTTAGTTGCGGGTGGGCATAGCCCACCATCGAACAGACAATCTTGTTGTTACACCAGCTGAGCCATCCTGCCACCTGTTGGCAGCTCAGCAACAGCTCAGTTTGGACACAGCGTCACTGGCCCATGTGGGAATCAATCTGGCAGCCCTGTTGCTCAGAGCTCACACTCTTAAGCCAACTCTTAACCAACTGAGCCACTCGGCCGGCCCCAGGAATACATTTCTGTTGTTGAAAAAAAGATAGAATAAAATACTCACTTGTGTTAGATTTCTAGTGCTGCCATAACTAAGCAGCACACGCTGAGAGGCTTACAGCAATACCCATTTATAATCTCCAAGTTCGGCAGGTCAGCTGTTTTTTTTGACCCAAGTTTCACAAGGCAAAATCACGATGTCAGCCAGCTGGGGTCCTGGAGGATTATTTGTCGAGGGGACTCTATCTGTAAGAGCACTTTGGGGAGGGGACTTGGAGTTGCGCCATTAGAAGTTTTTCCAGTTTCCCTCAGTTTCCTTCAGATGTCCAGGTATGTATAATATTAGGTCTTAATTTTAGGCCCTCACTTACACGTGAGGGCTCAATAAGTGCTTAGGGTAAGAAACAGGGGAGGGGCAAGGATGGACGAGGAGAGAGGAGGCAGGCAAGGGCAAGGGCCCCTGGTCTTACCAGTCTGTCTATCCTCATCTTGAAACTAATAAGAAACGGGAATTGAAAGAAAGCTTCTTAATCTCTCTTTCTAACATCATCATCCCCAAAAAACAACCTTTACAGATTTCTCAAACCATTTTTTTTTTTGCCTCCATAGTGTTTTTCATTCATTAAAAAGCCAGGTAAAGAACATAGAAAAGGTATTTTTCACTAAATGTAACAAGAAAGACTGGTTAACTTACTAAAATTGTTCGCATTAATGATGATCTGTATGCTTTTAAAATAAATCTCTTTCCTTGAGAGCAATCTGATGTGTAAGGTGAAAAAGTATAATGAAGGTTCTGAGATGAGTTAGAAATTACAATTTTGCAGCAAAAAAAAAAAAAGAGTCAAGACAGTCGAAGGCTGTTTGGTCAGCGTGCTGGAAATGCTAAGCATCAAGCCAGCACTCAGCATGCACAAATCTCATTTGATCCAAATGGAAACCAAGGGTCATAGAGGTCAGATGATGATAAATGCCCCAGAACATAATAATAAACACGAGTCACCAGGTTTCATAAGCAAACACCTTAAAATGTAAAACTCACTTACATTTAACCAAGGGAAAGAAATGCCCTTGGAACCAAAGCAGCCATACTATGAAGGCGCTTGTCACTGCTCATTATCAACAAGCAAACATAGCACGTCTGATCATCATGAAACACATCAGGCAGCTGTTCGTAACCAGTGAGAAAAAAGGGCACACGAATCTGCCAATGAACACAGCATCCCAGTTTTAGGGCCTACATTCTGGACCCAACATTTACAGAGCACCCACTATCCATGTTCTTTATATGTTATTTTAGACTTGGTCCTGCAGAGTGTAGGCAAACAAAGATGACTGACATCCACCCCTAACTGGAGGCACGCACAACCTAGTGGGAGACACACACGCATAATTACAATACGGTGCTGTGAGATGATAATATGTATAAGATGAGTATGTATGAGATAATAACATTAGGTACAAAGAAAATTATCTCTGCAGGGTGAGTGTAGGAAGGCATCACTGAAGAAAAATACCTTTGAGCAGTGTGCTCATGAGTAAAAACTTCTCCAAAATACAGAAGTGGAACACAGAGCCTTAAACTTTTACAAAAATCATATCAACCAGCTCAACTGCGCTTAAAGCACATGGGTCCGTTTTTAAGTGACAACACAGAATATAATACTTCAGGTACTTTACAGTTGAGTACTATCAGTGCTGCCTGCCCCTGGCAGAGGGACTGGGAGGGGCAGAGAGCTAAGCACAATTACTTGGGGCCCTGGCTACCGAATGGCTTTTCAGAACTGCACGTTGATGTGAAGCTGTCTTGCCTACTACACAGTCACAAGGAGAGAGAGCCCTCTCTCTCTCATTCTCTCTCAACATTCAAGCTGCTCATTCTCTGGAAAAATCTTTCACTCAATCACTCTTCCTCTTCCCCGGCTCCTTTCTCTCTCCAATTTCCAAATTATATCCTGTAGTTTGTACATCCTCACAAGCTGGATCGGGTCCTATTTTGCAGGAAGATAAGATAATACTTAACAGAAGCAGACCCTGCTCTTTTCTCTTGATTTCTATGGCGGGCTTCCGGACAAAGGAGAATGTTAACAGACCGCAGCCCCAAAACCCAACCACTGGAGAGGCAAAACAACAACCCTCCTTGGCTCTGACCCTTTGCCAGGGTGCAAGAAGCCAGCAGTTAGGTGGCCTTACCTCTTCAGTCCCATCAATCCTGATAATGGTATTTATGTAACCCGGGAGAGTGACAGATGGGCACAAGTTCCTTCTTACGCTCTGACAGTCTTGGCTAAACGCCCTGAGCGTCTTTCCTTCACCTTGGCTGATAATGTCTCAATTTCATCAATTTCCTTGGTAACAGTCTCAGGATAAGATTTTAAAACTCTAACACTGCCCAGTAAATCAATACCCTGACCTTCAAAATTCAGGGTCGAACCTCTCATTTGACAACTGTTCTTTT